ACTGGTACACAATTAAAAACATTCTATTTAGGCCTATCTATGGCTTTCAATAAGTTGACGACTCTACATGTTTCCTGAGGATGACGTTGTAACGTCGAAACATGTAGGGAAGACTAGTGCAGATAGCCCTCGTGAAGCTTTGCGCGAAATTCAAAACAAACAAGTCATCAAAAGTGAAATTAAGTTATCAAAAATTATGAAAAATTAGGAGACACCTACTGCGAATTCCTAATATAATTAATGAATTACCTGAACATTAGCAGGGAAAATTTACACGTTTTCGAAAATTGCATAATAGATGACAGTGATTAATTCTTAGTAATAAAAACATGAATTATTCTCAAAATAAAAAAACATATAACATTGTTGGTTTAAAAGGATATGATATTATTGGTAAAAATTAGAGGCTAAATAATCAAGCTAAAACATTACAGCTGAAACATTTTAAAGTTAACTGATCGACTTGAATTGTACAAAAAAGTAAAAGATTATTTGCCTAACTGTTTTAGAATTTAGCCTTCGTAGAAACATGGATAACTTTGGCCACGGAATACAAAAAGTTGTTTTCTTAGTGCTACACCGTTTTGTTTGTTTGGAATTTCGCGCAAAGCTACACGAGGGCTATCTGCGCTAGCCGTCCCTAATTTAGCAGTGTTAGACTAGAAGGAAGGCAGTTAGTCATCACCATTCACCGCCGACTCTTGGGCTACTCTTTTACCAACGAAAAGTGGGATTGACCGTCACATTATAACGCCCCCCTCCCAGCTGAAAAGGCGAGCATGTTCAGTGGGACGGGTATTCGAACCCGCGACCCGCAGATTGCGAGTCGAGCGCCCTAACCACCAGGCCATGACGGGCCTAGTGCTACACAGTGGGATATCTGTACTCTGTCCATCGCCTGGAATTGAACCCTGGGTTTTAACACTTTTAGTCCGTAAACTTACCAGTGATAGTTAAAACTGCTTTTCTAAATATTATATCCAAATTTTGCTTCAAGAAATTCAACTGTTTCTTTTAAGCAAACAGTTATGACATATTTCTAAATTCTTTTAAACGTATTTATAACAGTTTTATGAGTTAGCTCTTCTTTTAAAGAGTAGTCACGATAGTTTGTAACTTCTATTGTATCTTAAAGAGTGGTTATGATATCTTGTGACTTCTGTTGTATCTTAAAAATTGGTTATAATAATTTCTGACTTCTGTCTTATCTTAAAGAGATATTATTATAATTTGTGACTTTTATCTTCTCTTGTAGACTGGTTATGATAGTTTTGTGACATGTATTTTCTTTTTAAAGAAAGATTATGACAGTTTTGTAATTTGTTCCTTCTTTTAAAGAACGATTATGACAGTTTTGTGATTTGTACCTTCTTTTAAAGAACGATTATGACAGTTTTGTAATTTGTACCTTCTTTTAAAGAAAGATTATGACAGTTTTGTGATTTGTACCTTCTTTTAAAGAACGGTTATGACAGTTTTGTATTTTGTACCATCTTTTAAAGAACGATTATGACAGTTTTGTGATTTGTACCTTCTTTTAAAGAAAGATCATGACAGTTTTGTGATTTGTACCTTCTTTTAAAGAACGGTTATGACAGTTTTGTGATTTGTACCTTCTTTTAAAGAACGGTTATGACAGTTTTGTATTTTGTACCTTCTTTTAAAGAACGGTTATGACAGTTTTGTGATTTGTACCTTCTTTTAAAGAACGGTTATGACAGTTTTGTATTTTGTACCATCTTTTAAAGAACGATTATGACAGTTTTGTGATTTGTACCTTCTTTTAAAGAACGATTATGACAGCTTTGTGATTTGTACCATCTTTTAAAGAACGGTTATGACAGTTTTACGAACTGTCTCTTCAAAAAAAATTCAAACTGGTCAACTACTCTTCAAATAAGAAGTTATTTAAAATAGATGAAGAAACAAGCTCAGTTGAGGACCTCTGTCAAAACTTCTGATCAAAACTGGCCGTTAATGAAACTAAAGAAAGAAAAACTAGTTGTAAAGATTTTGAATACTTTACACGCTAAAACCAATATCGAAAATTTTGAATAATGTTTCAAAGAGGACTAATGATGTAAGAGAAGGCGTTGGTGTGAACACAATCTTTGGTTCTCTAGTCATGCACGAAAGTACAATTTGTTGTCTGCAGGGTAGTCCAAAAAACTTCCAAATATAGATATTAAGGCTAACTCTATTTATTTTATGCCACTATTTTCGTGAAGGTTTGGCTACTTGATCAAGAGCGCAAAATGAAGTCACACAATATGGATATCTTTCACCAAAAAAATCAGCTCAACATGTTTTTTGTGGGGTGGTTACTTAATCCGTTTTTTATTAGGGAGTCGGGGGTTACTTGATCAAATGCACAAAATGAAATCAACCATTTTGGATATTTTTTACCAAAAATCAGCTCAACATTTCAGAATCTAACTCCAGATGTTTTCAAGGAAACGTGTATGTCAACTGTCAATACATGCTTTGGTAATGGCGGTGGACAGTTTGAACATTTGTAATATTATATTGATTCAAATACAACTTAATCATAAATGAAACAAATGCGTTACGTGCACAATATGTTTTCTTTATTGAGGGGTTCACTATGGCCCATCCTGTATACTAAAGTTAATTCAAAGTAAGCATTAGGCAAGTAGAATAGCTTCATATGAGCTGTTC